GCTTGGATGACATAACAACGTCTTCAAACTAAACTGCAGCTGACCACAAAGATGCAGCTGTGTTTTTCCACTTCTCTTTCTGCCTGTGTGTGTGTGTCGGCATCAATCTTTAATGTTTTACATGTATCAATATTAATAGACGGTACGCAACCAATTGAGAATTGGTAAATCTGCTAAATACGGAGGTTCACAGACATAGAAAAAATGCTGCCATTCACTAATATTTTAATCCAAAATAAATTTCTGACTGAACTTGGCTTTCAAGGTGTTAGCTTTTGTTTATCAAAAAAATATCAAGATTTATTTGATTAATTTAGATATGTGCTTATAATTTTGTTGACCTTTTAGATTTAACACAAGCCCTTTGCATGGACAGGGTACTCAATTAGACAAGTGAGAATTTGGTGCAACTGAACATCTCTGGCAGCTGTTACTAGTCCTTTATACTGTATAAGTCTGAAGAAATGTTAAACCAGTGATAAACACTGGGGTGTCATTAGTGTCCTCACATTTGCTTTTCACTTTTCACTTTTTGCTAAATTTCCATTGGATTATTCTCATAACTTTGACTTTATCAGTCCAGAAAAAGTACCTTTGCTCTTTCCTGAATGGTCTTAGTGGAACAGCTTTGAATAATGAATATATTTATGAATAATATCGTGCTGCTCTATACACTGCATGGATAGATGTCCTGACATTATACTTTAGAATTTATTGGATACATTAAAACTTATTGTTGCATCAGTGACAAGCCATCCCAACTCAGAAGTGGTGAAGTATGAAATACATTGCTTTCATTTCCATTTCACCAGTCGGTTTCATGTGCTCTCAAACCACACCTGCAACAGCCCTCTGACTTTGTTCATGAATTCTTAAGCAAACTGCAGATAGATTCCTGTCTTTGGAGAGTAGCAGTTTTCTCCCTGCAGTCAGAGCTTGCACTTTGTTTTTTTTTTGTGTTAGCGCTGTCATACTTTTAACAAAGTGTAGTATTTTCTCCACAGTGGTGGATGGTGAATAGTCGTTTAGATTACTTTAATACAGTCCTCATTTAATTGTAATTCCTTTGACACCAAAGTAGGCTGGTCACTGTGTGGTTTAAAGGGACTCAAACATGGGTAAGTTTCATGACATAGGTCAAAAGAGCATTACGTGGTCAGTTTAGCTCCTCAGCAGAAAACATTTGATTAACTCTAAAAAATCATATAATTACAAAGATCAAATGGACTTTGAAAATTTTGAGGGGATGGTTGTCATCATTACCTTGTTTTTAATATCATCTAATTCATTGCACTTTAAAATGATAACAATTGATCTAGAATTCATTTAGTTTTTTTCTGCCAAGAAAGTAAAACACTGTTAGTTTTCACGGCTTCAGTGGAGAAAAAATAATCAGAGAGTACTTAATGATATACCTGGTTGTTGTTTCTAATATAGCTGTCCAATGCTGATGAAGTATATGACCAAATGATTCAGTTAATTCATACAGACAAACAGACTTCAACATGTTCTTTCATTGTGCACTAAATTAACTTGTGGGTTTGATTTTATAACCTCAATCTTTCAGGGATCATTACAACATATAATTTGTCTCTTTATTTGATTGCTTTTTATCAAAGAACTGTCATACACCAACTCAAATGGCCCTTTTTTCTGAACCCATTACAGTTCGGTGTGTTTCTCATCTTTCTTTCCAACCCACACCACCTCAAGGATGAAAGCCCTTGCACTTCAGGTCTTCCATTGGAGATTTAATCAATCAGATTTTCCTGTTTAATCCCTTTTCATGTTTTTCCTCGGTAAATAATCATAGACATGATCATTTGCCGGGTAGGGAGGGCAGCATGCAGATTTTTCAAAGAGGTGAGTCCCCAGGTATCGTCATTAGCCTGATTATTTAGAACCAAAAACACTCCACCAGTTTACGCGCAAATAGGTTAATTCTATTCAAACTTCCCACACATGCTACTGGTGTGCCATCTTTTACAGATGAGTTCTCACTAAATGTCTACTTGTTCAGTCACCACAGCAACTTGCAGGAAATACAGTATGAAACACATCAATAACATTCAACTAATTTGCTTAACAATTAACAAAGACTGAGATGTTCTACAAGGCAGCAGTCGAAGTTATGACTGAATCTATACTTAGTGATCCTGTCAATATATCAACTATAGATTTTTCAGGCTTCAGTCAGACGTCCCTGCTTTAGTAAGCTGTCTACTGTTGACACCTAGTGGCCAAATACTCAGTTATTCATTTTCTATTTATACTCAAAAACCTTTTCCACTAGGTGGCAGTGCATCTCTTCCCTCCCGTTGAGGATGTTGTTCTGTCAAATGTACCTCTGTCCAGCTACTATGTGGTGATAAGATATGACTTTTCATGAGAATCCAGTGCTTTACGTATAGATGCATTTATTGCTGCATTAGGTACTCTGCTGTTTCAGCTCAGCACTGTGGAGCAGCTCAGATGAAGAGCTGCTGCACTGATGACCCTCTATCTCAGGATTAGTGAATTAATGCAACCATTCAGACACTGTGCTCAGCTGCTTAATACTGTTTTATCCCAAATAACATGTAGACATGGTGCGGCCATTTTTGTAAACACGGACATTTCACATGTGGCATTGTGCAAAAGGTCTTCATTTTTTCTGGAAAACAGGAAATGAATTAAAATTTTCATTGGAGCATGTGCATCTACATCAAGTAAGATTTAAATAAGCCCCATTGTCAGTGTCTTTATACCATTGCCTTCCCTGCTAGATGTTCTTGTATATCCTTTAGAAAGTCATCGGGATTAGGCATTCAAACTTATTGTTGGCCTTGTCAAAGCTCATATGTTGGTTCTGGACATGTGTTTTATATTTCTTTTGCTTTATATAAAGATGACCAATAATCTATGCTGTTTAGCCCTCCATATAATCTGTTACCACTTATTTTTTGTCCAATATTTTATTCAGTGGGAAATATTTTCTACCTTCTTCCTCAATTGTTGTCTTTTCAGTCCCCCTTATCATTTGACCATTTCTAAGGAGGCCTGTGCGAACATCAGACAGATCAATCAATGATTCAGTTTCAACTGAGATATTCTGTGGATGGTCTGGACTAGATTTAGTGGAATTATGAAAAACTTTTTTCAATCAAATTGTTGATTTTCATAAAATATTTTAAGAATGCACCACACATCATGCAAACATTTGAAACAGCCTTTTTTCATTCCTATCACGCTGTGAAATCTTTTATATTTGTCAAAAAATGGGAATGACAAACAGTCATTATAGTGACTGCTGGTGAAAATGTACCAAGAGACACACTGGACACACAGAAAACAGTCTCAAAGCCCAAAGGAAACAGGAAAAATGGGATTCGTTTGCAGGAGAGTATATAGAAATGAGGAGCAGCTTACGAAAAAAGAAAAAAATGTTTATGCTATGCTTTCTGCTCAGGGCTTGGTAACACTAGAATATCCTTTCAGTTACATCATACACTTTATGTTCTTTAAAAGAACACACTCTATCCAAGAAACTGTAGAAACTTAGAGACAGAAATATTTAAAAAAGTAGGATTTATGAAAGGAGCCAATATAATTTCCTGTGCTTGTCCAGGAATGAGGGTGTCACTCAGAATATAAGTTGGTGAGGTCAAGGGTCAAAAAGGCTGAGAATGAATTTAGCTCTGTCTTTGTGTTGCTTCTTTTCAAAACCCAAATCTTTTCTTTCTCAAAGTCTCTGGTCTATCAAATGCTTGTAATTTATCACGTGTTTAAGGAGCACCATCCACCACGTTCATGAGCCAAATGTCCTGTCTGTGAGAGACTGCATCCAAAGAGTGGAGAGATGTGCTTCTTTTGTTATTCATCCCTTCAACCCTTCAAAGTCAGACTCTGGCTTTCCTGGTTGGTAATGCAAATGCATCACAAATACACTCACACAGAAGCACACACAGGCTTAAACTAATCCTTGTGAAAACAAAGCGATATATTTCTCCCAACGCGGATCAAGCGTGGGATGTTCATCAGCATGTTTATCAGGATTATAAAGATGTCATCCATAATGTAACCTCCAACATCATACTTACAATTCTCTGTTCTAAATGGATGAGTGGTGACCAGTTTGTAGAAATTTGAACACCAGGAATATATCCCAAAAATTTGATGAGGCAACTAGTGACCATTCCCACCACTGAGCCCTGACCTGGTGTGGCCTTCTGACCTCTTTGACTGACCTCTCGGTGGGTGGCCATTTCACTGACCCGCAAGGACAATGAATCAACAGAAGTGGCTGCTCTCAGATCAGACCACTGTTAGCTTTGTAATTTTGTTAATCGATTCCTCAGTATACATTTTTCCTCTTCTATATGTTATTATCTTGCTTAGTTTCTTGACTTGCCATGTGTTTAGACACTGACACATACAGTAAAAGGAAAAAGGTTTGGTTACTCTATCTCCATTAGTGTTTTAAACCTTTGTAACCTACTAAGACTATGCAGAGTTACACACAGACATTGTCTGTGTGTAAGTATATGAACGGTCAGTGGTATTTTTGAGGGTATTTAGTTGTAGAGTGAGTAGATGTCAGGAGCAGATTATGCTGTGTTAGTGAAGGGGAAAGTCGACACAGGCTGGCAGCCACGTTAATCAAAAATCTTTATCTTACAATCCAGTGTCACGCATTCACCCTTCATTAAGTGACAGCCCTGGGATTAGTGAAACTAAACCACACAGAGCTTCAGGGAAAAAATCTAACAAATAGGATGTGCTACTGGCTGTTCTCATCTATCTATCTATCTATCTATCTATCTATCTATCTATCTATCTATC